TATATATATATATATATATATACATGGATAAATTTTTTTTATCTATATATATGGTCTCGAGTTATTTTTACTGACGAATCTAAGTTTAATCGATTCAGATCTGATGGCAAAGTATAAGTACACAATGAATAAAACTTAATTTTCCTAACTACGTAAGTATATGTCCGCCACTGTATATATATATGGTATCGCAAAAAAATGTTACCACACTTTATGTAGTTCGTTATAAACATTGAAAGAAAATTGTACGATATTTAACAAACACTTTATAAACAATCAAAGTGTGGTAACATTTTTTTGCGACGCCCTGTATTATTTCCTTAATATAATACTGCTTCTTTTCTAACAAACAACATGGTTTACTCTAGTGAAACAACAGCATTTTCATTCAACCAAAAAGATATTTTATATTAAATTATGCTTTATATATTAAACAAACCTATGTCAAGCACACACATACTAAATCCAAAGAAACCTTTTTCTCTGTGCATATATCATATATGCGTACGCACGCACGTGCACACGAACACGCGTATATCAAATCTAAATTTTTATTCAAGCTGTACGTCACGATATATCGCGCGTTCTATATCGGAAACGGCACGTTTCCCGCGACACACGTAGTAGGGAGGAAAAACGTGTATACACTCTTTTCGTCTATCCGATCGATAAACACTCCCAAGTGCGATGGATTGTCGCGTACGATGTTCGGCGGTCGGAGAATGCAAATGGTCTGTTCTTTTTAACTGAACCAGCAGCACTAGTTTAAAAAATTTACACACGTAGAAGTATGAGAATTTCGCATGTACGGATGCTTCATACGCTTCAATGTGTATGTACATAGAAAAAAAAATTAGTATTAATTCACGACTTCTATGTTCTAATCTATGATATCATTGTTTAATATGTAAGAATATATATGTAAAATTTTTACAAAAACTTAATAATCTTGAATTACAATATTATAATTTTACTGGAATATTACAATAGTCCACTTATAGTACAGCTGTACTTACGTAGAGCTTGAATAAAACAGCATAATATGATTATTTTGAAAATAATAAATCTTGTTGAGACATATTAAGAATTTATATCAAAAAGATGAGTGTGTTATTTTAAGTAATTCTATATTTGAGTCAATTTTTTTGAGTTAATCTTTTTCCAACAACATGAACGCTTTTATATTATGATTTATAATATAAATTATAATTATAATATATATATAAGTCAAGTCTTATATTATAAGACCGTCTTAGGTTAGATTCATCCTCAGATGCTTGCCAGCTAGTGAAGCGACCCGTATAATATCTGAAGATAATTTCAAGATGATTTTAGATATAAGAGTTGGCTATTATAAGAGTCGGAGAGAAAATCTGGAAGCCGGAATTGCTATAGACCAGAATCCGGGACCTTCCGTATGTTGAGCGTTTACTTTTATCACTGAGCTATCTAGGCCCCTATTCCGATATATTCTCTTTTGTCTTCTTATGATGTTATTGCGTCAGTTTTGAAATAAAATAAAGAAATTGTTATTATAAGAACTTTCAACAAGTTAACTTAATAATATAAATTTTTTTTTTCAAAGAATAAAATATATTCATGTAAAAGTAATGTACTTTTAAGTTAAAGAAATTGTAATTCTTGGTTTGAAAATATCATTCTTTTCTAATATTTTTTACTTTCA